AACATCTCACCCCACCCCATGAAGAGTTGGGGCTCCTGGGGACACCCCTGCCAGCCCTGAGCTGATTTTTGCACTTCTTGAAGTTGTTTAAACACTCGCTGTAGAACTGAGATGTCTCAGGACAAACTGGTTTTCCTTGCAGGGGAAAAGCAAGGCCCATCTTTCCTGGACTGCCCTCAGCCCAGCACCCCTCACTCCTCCACCCACAACCACCCCCCCCTGGCCAGGCCCCTGGTTTCTCTGTTGATGGGCAACCGAGGGACCAGTTTTGGCCACTAGCCCCTGTCCCTGGAGGGGCAGCTTTGTGGACGCAAGTCATCCATGGCCAGAGAAGCCCCTGCAGATGGGGCAGAGCCACGTTCTCTGTGCATTCCCCGTGTCCTTCCTCCCTCCTCGCCCACCGCTGAGGCTGGGTGAAGGGCCTCTCACACAGGGGGTGCTGGGCTTTGTGTGCTAAACTCTGAAGCAATTGATTTTTTCTAGTTCTCCTATTTATTGACCTCCTTTAGAAGGGCTATCTTTTTATTACTGTGCAAACCTTGGTGTTCCTTTGGAGTCTTCTTTCAGTCTGGGTTGGGTGGTCGATGGTTTTATTTCTGCCCTTAAAGCTCTAGGTCCGTGCTTTTGGGAGAGGGAGTGTCGTGACATGGGAACCTGTGGTCTGTAAATACTGTGTCTTGGGTCAGTGTAGCTCATGGCTGAGGCTGGGGAGGGTGGGATGGAGCAGGGCTGATCACCCCAGCAGCACGTCCTCCCCCTGGGGAGAGGTGTGACCCACACTCTTTTCCTGGCTACACACCTCATCTGGGAAGGATTTAACATTTATTACCAAAAATGTTTGGATTTTCTTTCTTTTTTTTAAAGAGTTGCTCAGTAAATAAACAACCCTTATCCACCCTTCCTGTTTGTCTGTTCCATCCAAATGCACTCAGGAAGCACAAGTGGGAGTAGTGCCTGCCAGAGAGAAAAATGCTGATGGGGGAAGATTTCCCAAGGCTCCTGGGAGCGTGGTGGCTCAGGGCTTTCTTCTGCGTCCAGGTACAGCCAAGACATATCAAGCATTTCAAGCAAAGCCTTAAAACCATGGGCAGGGCAGAAGGGTGGAGTGAGTTGCCACCTTCCATCAAACAACCCCAAGCGAAGCTGGATGCCAGCAGCCATTCACCCCTCACCTCCAGCTGCCCGTGGCTCTGGGGACATCCCAGGGTAGTGGTGGCTCCAAGTCCCCAGGCAGGAGTTTGAAGTTGCTCCATCACTCAGCTCTTCCAGAACTATGCCAGTTCAGTTATCTGTGCCATGAATGCCTGGCAGAGTGCTGGCCTCAAGGCAAGACAGCCATGGTAGCCAGGGCAGTGGTCCCGCCAGGGACAAGGACGGGTCCAGGGGAGTTGTAGCACAGCCAATTGTGCCACAACCAGGACACAGCCACAGCAGCCAAGCTGCAGCTCTTCCTGCAGGGGAAGGTAGCACTGACCCAGGTGCTCCCGATGTCCATCCCCACTCCCCGAGCTGTCCCCATGCCCTCTGTCCCCAGTGGGACAACCACAGAGGCACACACGTCTTCCCCTCCCTTCCTGCCACTGCCATAAGGCAGAGGCAGCTCTCTCCAGGAAAGTCACCTAGAAGCTCATACCAAGTCCTGCTGGGTGCTGACAGAGGGGAGGAGAAAGCGTGACCTGGGCAACGGCTGGAGCCCTTCAGCCACTGCCTCCACTGTCACGCTTTGGCCCTTTTCCCCCACCTCGGGGCTGCAGGTGCACTGGAAGCTGCCAGCCAAGGGTTGTGGGTGATGGCTTTGCTGCTCTCCCAGCCCCTAACAAAGATTATGTAGTGCACGGGTGGAGTCTGCTCCAAAGGAGTCTTTAAACACAGCTAAGCCTGCCTGACCCATCTGGGCTCCCCTGCAGTGCTGCCTTCTGCAGCAGCTCGTCTCCCAGCCCAGGCTCAAACATCTGCGGTAGGCACAGTGCTGGGAGGGGGAACAGGCTGAAGGGGGGTCTGGTCTCCCCAGGAGATCATGCCGAGGGCAGCCATCAGCACTGGAGAGCAACGCTGCCTCCAAAGCAGATCTCTCCAACTTAATGTCTATTGGAGAGAAGTAAATGTGACATCCATCTCCTCCCGCAGCCCCGAATGAGCTTTCAGGGATGACAGAACACAGGGGGAAGGTTTTATTCAGCATAGTAAGGAAGAGACATGGAGATAAGGTGGGGTTGTGTAACCAAAGTACATGCTTCACAAACCCAAATGCCACGTGGCCAGAATCCAAAACTCTGGGATCACTTGGAGACAAAGCCTGTCCCAGTGAGGATGCTGCTTCCCTTTCTGCTTCACCTACGCAGCACGATGGCTCTCCCTGGGAAGGAGGGCCAGGAAGAGGTGTCACCAGCCAGCAGAGCCAGGCCGGGAAAGGCAGGAGGAGAAGGGGAGGCAAAAGCCCCGGCCCAGAACACTGCCTGGCAGAGGCAAGGCCCTTCGGTACCACTCATACCACGGCACTCTCTTGCAAGGAGCCCCCTCAGTTTATGGTGAGGACATCACTCTGAATTTCATGGCTCAGCTGGGTCTGGAGGTCGCTCAGTTTCTTCTTCAGGCCGGAGAGTGCAGAGAGAACAATGGTCTCTGGGCGCAGAGAACCACAGGACTCCACGTTGTAATAAAACCTGAGGTTACAAGTCAGGGGGTTAAGATACCATCTGCTCTGCAGGGAGCTGCAAAACCAGAGAGCATCTGCAGAGCAGTTCCAGCCCATCCTGACCCACCACCCGCAGCTCTGCAGGGAATCCCACACATCAGCATCATTCACCTTCCAGCCCGGCAACCACCAGCGCTGCCCCTCTACAAGCCTCACACCAACACTCATGACTCCACAGGCTGCAAGAGCACCTCTGAGATTTTCTTCTGTACAGCACTGTGAACTGGGTGAAGGGATCAAGTGCATCCTCAGCTTTCAGATGACAACAAACTGAGCAGGACTGTTGACCTGCCCGAGGCCCGGGACACTCTGCAGAGGGACCTGGCCACACTGGATCGATGGGCTGAGGTCAACTGTATGAGGTTTAACAAGGCCAAGTGCTGGGTCCTGCACTTGGGTCACAACAAGCCCAGGCAATGCTTCAGGCTGGGGGAAGAGTGGCTGGAAAGCTGCGTGTAGGAGTGGCTGTAAACTGCCTGGCAGAAAAGGCCCTGGGGGTGCTGGTGACAGCTGGCTGAACAAGAGCCAGTGGTGTGCCCAGGTGGCCAAGAAGGCCGCCAGCATCTTGGCCTGGATCAAAAAGAGTGTGTCCAGCAGGAGTAGGGAAGTGATGGTGCCCCTGAACTGGGCACTGGGGAGGCCACAGCTTGAGCACCGGGATGATTTTGGGGCACCACAGGATAAGAAAGACCTTGAGGGGCTGGAGCGGGTCCAGAGAAGGGCAACGAAGCTGGTGAGGGGTCTGGGGAACATGGCTTGTGAGGAGTGGCTGAGGGACCTGGGGGTGTTTAGTCTGGAGAAGAGGAGGCTGAGGGGAGACCTTCTGGCTCTCTACAACTCCCTGACAGGAGGCTGGAGTGAGGTGGGGGTTGGTCTCTTCTCCCAAGTAACTAGCACTAGTATAAGAGGAAAAGGCATTAAATTACAGCAGGGGAGGGTTGGATATGAGGAAGAATTTCTTTCCTGACAGAGTGCTGAGGCATTGGCCCAGGCTGCCCAGGGAGGTGGGGGAGTCCCTGTCCCTGGAGGGGTTCAAAAAACATGGGGACGTGGCACTTGGGGACATGGCTTAGTGGTCATGGTAGTGCTGGGTTGATGGCTGGACTTGATTTTGAAGGCCTTTTCCACTCGTAATGATTCTACGAGCTCTGAGGCAGCCCAGAGTCCTGTGCCAGGGAGTGAGACTGGCTGTGGCAGCTCTGCAGGGTGAATAACCTGGGAGAGGGGCTCCCCCCAGCAATCGGGGCATGAGAGACCCACACGAGTGAGTAAATATCGTAATCCATTCTGCCCTGCAGGCCTCACACTTCACCGGGTGCTGCACTGCATGAACTCAGAAGAGCTGTCTAGTATCTCCCAGAGGGTAAAACCTGCCAGGCCTGGGCATATCACCACTTAACTCCAACTCCTGCCCTGCTTTTCAGGGAACAACAGCTCCCTGGGCTGGCAAACTTCAGCGCAGAACAGATACTCTTGTATTAACGAAAGCCAAGGAGGTGCACCAAGCTGTCCCTCCCTTTTCCTGCACTCAGGTTCTCACCTCTCCGGCTTCCCGTTGGGGTCGTAGGGAGCCTGAGCATCCTCCTCGTCGATCTCCGAGTACTCACTCTTGGGCCTGGAATCACAGAGAAGGGAAGGTCAGAACAGAGGCCACCTTGGTATCCCAGAGCGAGCACTGGGCTCAGCTCCAGGAGGCACTGGCGCAGTCACTGAACATGGCAGAGAAAAGCCCAGTCCCACGGAGCCCCTTCCACCTCCTCACTGACGCTCAGCAGCACTGGAGTTCACCCCGCTCTGCCCAGCCCCAGCGAGCCCTCTGTGGGGTACTGTGGCTCCATTCTCTTGCACCAAAGGGATGGCCATGCCATCAGAGCCTGCAGGCTGTTTATGGAGCAACAGGCCTTGTGTTATCTTTGCTTTTTACTTTCCTGGTCCAGGAAAACACAAGAGCACTCAACAGTGTGCAGCAGAGCTGAGATAGGTCCAGTTGGCTTGTGCCCAGCAGTAAAAAAAAATCTCCTGTACTTCAGATACCAGCTGCATCAGTGAGCCCCATCCTGACATCCTGCACCTCCCTTCTCCTACACACCTCACCACCAAACAGGGCAGAGGTTTCCACTGCCACAACAGCTTCTTTGAGAGTCTGCCAACAGCCTCAAAAAAGTAACCAGCATGAAAAACCAAACTAAAAAATAATAGCTAGCCTTGGACAGCAGAAGCCTTTGTCTCTGCATTGTCTTCACAGGGAACCAGATGGGTTTGGAAAGGCAGACATATCATCAGGGAACAGGCAGCTCGAATGTCAATCTTCCTCTGGGAGGTTTTCAACTTTTACATATGTATTGGCAAGAACGTCTCAAGAATTGTTTCCATATACCCAGCCTGCTGTGTAACACCACAGGTTCCTGAAGATGCAGCTGACTGCTGCTGAAGAGGGGTCCTCAGCAGCAGCTGCCTCGGCCCACCCAGCCAGGGAAGCACCTACATGGCCAGGGTCCAAGTGCTCAGCCATGCAGCTGGGCTGTTCTCCATGACACCGACCCCTGCAAAATCCCAAACCCTCCAAAATTCACACTGTGACATTCCCTGACCAGAAGAAGACAAAGCCAATGATTCTTCAGTCTGCCTGGCATCTGTCTGTCCACCTCAAAGCAGTATTCCAAGTCTGTTACTCCATGAGTGTCAAGGACTTACTATCTAGCATTACAGAAATTAAACCAGAGAATTTCCACAGCACTAAAATAAAGCCTAGAATGATTTCGAATCCAGATCTGAAATTCCACACCACAGAAACATTTTCATTTCTCAAGCATCTGACATATCAGTCAGTCAACTGAACTTTGGGGCAATTTACCAGCCACAAAGCATTTGGAAACTCCCCAAAACATCCAGTTCCATCCCCAGAACTGCCAGTGACAACAGGCTGCCACACTGGCTCTTGTGATGTCCTAACCACAGAATTGCCAAGCAGCATGTTCCTGGGCATTTCACCACCTCATCACAACTTGCCTCCCATGGGCTTCCCACAACAGCCCTTTCTGTAGCTAGCACTTCCCAAAATCCAGCTTCAGCCCGCATGTGTGGCTCCAACACCAAAGAAAACGCCCATTTACAGATTCCTGGCACTTCCAGCCAGCGTGGTTCCTACTGCAGATCCAGAGCTCCACCCTGATAAAGAGCAGCAGGAGCCAAGTGCCTGGCACGTCGTGTTCCCACCCAGACCAACGGAACCTGACCCGTGGACACATCTGACAGAGCCCATCAAAGTCAAGTGGGCTTTGCTCCTTCCACACCTACACAAACCAGGGCGGGGATGGCCGTGGGCAGATCCCAGCCTGTTTCACACGTGTCCTCTTAGCAAGGGACCGCCTAAAGCCATGGTCTGCCAGGGGTCTGAGCGCCCACGCTCGCTGTGGAGCCATGGAGGACGGTGTGGATGTACAAGGATGGATTGATCTGGACAGGCTGGAGCAATGGGCTGAGGTCAGTTGAAGGGGGTTTAACAAGACTGAGTGCTGGGTCCTGCACTTGGGTCACACCAAACTCCTCCTGCCGCTCAGCCTCCTCTGCGGCCGCAGCTCTGCCCAGACTTTTGTTTATGTGGTCCCTGCACCACATCCTGCTCCTGTGTGGAGGTCTTCTTCACCTCGAGTGCAGCTCTGGCTGCTGCCCTGCTGCTACAGCAGCATACCCACCACCCCCTCTGGGCCTGTTCTCAGCCTGCCTTGCCCAAAGCACCCGATTCCCTGCTCTGCCACTGGCTCCAGTGCACTCCATGACAGGCTGTCTCTGCTAGATGGTCACCAGGGTGCAGAGCCAGGAGCAGCTCAGGTATCTACTCACAGAAAAGTGCTGCCAGGCAAAACCCTTGGCCTGGCCAAAGCAGCGCAGCAGCTGTCCAAAAATGAAATTGTGTCACTTTTAGGTAAGACACAGCGTGCTGCAAGTGCAGAATGTGATGTCAGAGCAGAAGAAAGGGGAAGAGAGAAACTTCACTGCTGGAGCTCACACTCGAGAAGTGAGACGTGTGGGTGCAACCAGACCCACCAACTGGGCTCCCTCAAAAAAAGAAGGCTGCAAAATCAGCCTCGCAACCTAACCTTCTACCCTTTGCTATCCTAGTACCCTCCTCCAAACCTTCTGCCCTTTGCTCTCCTAAGGTGACCTCTTTCACCTCGTGTGAATCTGTTCCTCCTTCAGACCTCACTCTGGCCTACATCCCACTTGTGCAGGGAAGAAAAAAACAGGAAGGAGTGGTGGGAAAGAACATGAAAGCAAGTGTGTAGCTCACAGTGACTGTCACAGCAGCGACAGTACGTGAGGGGAGGACAAGAGGTGGCCACCAGCCAGTCCACCTTGCATGCAGCTGCAACCACGGGAGCGGCCTCGGTGCCCTAACACCAAGGCCAGTCTGTGCAAGGGGAAGCAACAGCCACGCTCATGATCACTTACTGACCCAAAACATCCCCAGGGCTGAAACGCAGCTGCCTTTTGGAAAACCTTTGCTGGTCCCTCCAGACAGACATCAGGACGTACCACTCCTCTGGTTTGGGGTACACGGTGTGCCTCAGGGCGTTGTCCGGGTCATACTCGAAGGCCACACCTGCCGTGGGGTTCCACTTGGCATGCTCCTTCCCGAAGCCCTTCTTGGCGTAGGCTCGCAGCCGCAGCTCCTGGCCCTTCCGCAGCTTCACAATGAGGATGTCTGCAGGAAAGCACATGCCTGTTTGAGAAAGCTGCAGAGGAGAAATGAGTGTGTATAGGTCACACCAAGGCAAAAGTAGGAATTTTTAGTGCCTGGGAAGACATCACCAGAAGCCAGGGTTCGCTTGGATTCTCAGAGGTGCTCATCTGTGTCTCCAGAGTAGCTGGAAAACATCTTGCTAAGTAAAAAGGAGTAGTGCTTTGCCCAGAGGCACAGCTCTGGTCCCCATTGCTGCTGTCTCCAAGGTCCCACAAGGAGAGAGAACCACCCCCCAGCGCAGGACTTGGGTTCTGGGGACAAGCTTTCAGTAAGACAAAATGGGAACCCCACTGATGCAGGAGGCTGGTATCACTCAGCTGCCAGTTCCACATCTGCCTTACAGTTACACAGCTGGGAAGGAAAAAATTAATACAAAGACCCTGAAAGAAAAATGCATTTTCTCCTGCAGCCCTTATCCACAGCAAAATGCCACTTGCCATCCTGCTCCACGTAGTCGTTGGGGTCGTTGTCTCTGCTCCGAGATGTCACCTGCAGAACAAAAGGAAATTAAGAATAAGATCAGCTTTTCTCCCCACATCACATAGCAGTTTCCTACAAGAGTTAAAGGCTGCAGGGAAGCACTCTAGAGTGACTTACAGCAACAAATCCACCCACCCTATTTCACGGAAATCGGGACAATTCAGGCAGCTGCAGCTGGATACGAACATCCCATCCCACCAGCCTGCCCGCCCCCCGAGCTACGCTGCCCTGAGGGGCACAGAGAGCCCTCAAGCCCATCCCAGAGTCACTCCCACGACTGCTGGAAGGTGACACATGGTGTGCATGGCACCTGGGCCACAGCCAACAAGGACAGCAGGCTGTGGCTCAGCTTTACCCAGGCAGACACTGTCACCAGCCACCAGAAACAGCCCCCAACTGGTGGTAACATCTGGATGCAGCCTCAACAGTGTTTTAAAACGTTCTCCATAAATTCTCTCCACGTCTCTTTTTGTTTTGGCTCAACCAACATTCCCCCGAGGTGTTGGACAAGAGCCGCTGGGCAGCAGTGCCCTGGCCCAGGCTCCTCACACCTTGCCATGCTCAGAGTCAAGACCTGTAAAACCAGAGGCCTCCGGGTTGCTGCCAAGCCTTCCAAGAGGCCAACCTTGCCCAAGCCCCAGCAGCATGCAGGCAGGAGAACACACGTTACACAGCAGTGTCACATGTCCCAAGTGTTCGATGTGACATGGAGAGGCAACACTAAAGCCACCCAAGAGTTCGAAATGAGGGGTGCAGGGTGAGGCTTTAACAAGGCCATACTGCTCTGAAATTTCATTTGCCCAGAGAGATAGTGGAGGCCCCTCTCTGGTGGAGAGATTCAAAGTCAGGCTTGACAGGCTCTGAGCAACCTGATCTACCTGGAGATGTCCCTGCTTACTGCAGGGGGTTTGGACGAGACAACCTTTGAAGGTCCCTTCGAACCCATTCTATGACATGCCATCAGACAGTGAGTAAAGGCCAACAAGGCAAAAAAGAGGAAGATGCTGGCACACACTCCTGTTTCTGCAGGTATTCCTGCTTTGTTCTCTCACTACACTTTAAGTAGGGATTCAGGCAACGTGAAATGTGCTCCAAGACCTTGTTTTGTCCACATCTCATGTGTTCACCACCCTGGCCTCAACAGGAACACAGGGATGGGACTCGACGACAGGCAGAAAAATGGCACTGACCGGTATGACGCGGGGGTTGTTGGAGATGAGATCACGGGATGTGACGTGACGAGTCTGGTCTTCATTGCACCGAACATCAAGGGTGAACTCCACAGAGCACTCTGGGCAGAACTCATCACACGTGCAATCCTGGGACAGACACAGGTCAGGACTTGCGTAAAACTTCTCCCAGCAAGAACTTAGTAGTGCTTCCCACAAGACCAGACACCCATCATGATCAAAATAAGCACCCAAGACATTTTGCTTGACTCACTCTGGAATATTGCATCTTATCCACAATGTCATCACTGGTGAGCGGGATGAGACCTGTGGGAAGAAGGAAATTAGGGGAATGTCCAAGTGAGACCACCGGAGAGCCAACCCTTCTGTCAAGACAAGCAGAGGGAGAGCCTGTCCTCCTGACAAAGCTGGTTTGGTGTCTTCAGACTAGTTTCGTCCACAACCTCTGTGTTGCTGCACACCCTCATCTTCCTCTCCGTGCACTGCACTCACCCAGCCTGTGCGCGATGAATTCATCGTGCAGCACAGAGGAGTTGGCATCTATCTGGACCCAGTCGATGGCTGCAGAGAAGAAAAGGTCACAAGCTGAGAAATATTTCTGCAAAGGAAAAGCCGAGCAGCTCGCCAGAGCACAGCAAACGTCACAGGGGGTTCCAGTGAGGCTGCAACAGTGGTGACGCTCAGCACGGGTAAGGTGAACCGAGGGCAGCGTGGACAGAGGGGGAAACGGTGGAGAAGCAACGAGGGCAGCGGGGACGATGAGGGCAACAGCGGCCTCGCACAGGCAGGCGGTACCTATGATTGGCACTTCTGCGATGAACACTCTTCGAATGGAATTGGCCACCCTGAGGGAGAGAAATACCCGCGCTCAGGCGGGAGGAAACCCGCGGAGTCGCCGGCCGGCGCTGCGGCCGCGACTT